AAACTTCAGAACTTAATTCTGTTACAGGGCTAAATTTGCCCTACAGTAGTAGACGTTCTGGTAACTTTTAACTCTTCCTTTTCTGTTGATTATGATTATTCTTACAAATTATGCTGAAATCATTAATTGTGATGTAATAATAACACATTCAGGATGCAACAGCAGTGCTTTTTTTTTTTTTTTTTTTTTGGGATGACAACCCCCAGAAGCCTATAACTAGGATAGTTAGCTGGAGGATTCTGGGAAATGAAATCCAAAAAGGTAACTCTTATGGGTCTCACTCAATTTTGCATCCATATTAATTCAATGGGAACTTTAGGTGGACACTTATGATTTGTCTAAATTCAACTGCATTCCTCATTGGCTAGGCTGGCAAGGGATGCTGAGAGCTGCATTCCAACATACTCTGGAATGATGTGTGGTTCCTATCCAATGAAATGCAAAGCTGCACAAGTGGCAACCTGGGGAAAAATATGAAGCCTTTGGATAGTCCCAGTGTGCTCCCCAAAGCAAGCAGGAAATTATCAATATACCTACTTCATCACAGTGTGGGAGAGTGTAAGCAGGTTAACAGTATGGACACACAACATCAAGAACTCTGATGTTCCTCCTTTTTATGGTTCTTTATTTTTCAACTCATGTTCTTTCATACTACACTATCATAGTATTATGATCGTCATGACCAAGCACCCTCCTTTTCCAGGATATGTCCAACATTTCAGCCTTCTCCAAGAGGAATTTCAACATGTCCTCCATTTTGAGCAGGACTAAGAAGCATGCATTTATATCTATATGAGTGTTTTGAGCTTTTATTCGGCCACACCCTACAATTTTCTTGAGTGCCCTACATTTTGCAGTGCCTTGTCCTGCTTTATGGTTAGGACATCTGATTACCTCGACTGTGATTCCTCTTGAATGGCCATTATTCCATCCTATAGGATCCTGGGATTTGTAATTTGGGGAGAGGTATTTAGACTTCTTAGTCAAAGATCTCTAATGGCTCATCAAATTACCATCCTCAGGGCTCCATAAGATGCTACCATGGAAGTTCAAATGGAATCATAGCACTATAATTGTGTAGTGTGAATAGCTTTTAAATAGAGGACACTTTCAAACACAGGACTTTTCATGGCTAGCCTTTCCAATGCAGCATCATCCTCCATAAAGCAAAAGTAGCGACCATAAGCCTTTCCTTAGGGGAAAGAAATCTCTTGATATCTACGCATACTCTCCAAGGCTTTTCAAAAATGATGCTAAGAAACAATTCAGATCTCCTACACAATAAAGCACTTTGGCACGACTTTAACTGCCATAGCTGAATGCTATGAAATTCTCAGATCTGTAATTTATCGTGGCACCAGAGGTCTCTGACAGAGAAGGCTAAATAGCTCATGAAACTACAGATCCCAGAATTGCATTGCCTTAAATCATGGCAGTTAAAGTAGTAACAAAGTGCATTATTTCTGCAGTGCAGATGCAACCTCAATCATACATAAATATCTCCCAATTATTCCACTCTAATGGCAAGTATCTTTCTTTTGTTTATAATGGCAGCATGGTATTCCAATAATGTGGTTGGAAGACTGTGCTGCCATTAAAAATAAAAGTAAAAGCAAAAGTCTTTAAACTAAATATACCCCACACCATACCACTACCACCACCTATACATCTTTGTAGCATGGAGGTATTTCAGGGGATGCTGTTTCGGTGGGTATTTGAAGTTCTCAACTCACCTATTGTCAAACAAGGTGCTTGAGGTTTACGCGACCCTTGGTAATTCCACCTCCTTTGCAAAGGTCGGTGGTTGAGGAGCAGTATGGCTGAGGGGACAGAAAATGCCATTCCCTGGGGGAAACATTTATTTTTCTTTCTCAGGATGTGTGTGTGTGTGTGTGTGTGTGTGTGTGTGTGTGTGTGTAAAGTGTTTGGAATTTATGGGGGAATCTTTTATGGATTTTCCATAGCCTTAAGTAGTTCATCTGTCAGAAATTTTCTGGAGAGGGTCACAGTATTTGTAATCACAGAATCAAAAAATATTACAAAAGCAAGAAACAAAGAAAATTACATTGGAAATAGGAGAAAAATTAAAAGCAGCAAAACAAAAAAGTTTTGAATTCGCTAACAAACCTGGGAAAAGGTTGGCTGAAACACTAAGGAGAGAAAAAGAAAGAAAAACAATTATAGAAATAAAGGTGGAAGGTACAAGAGTGACAGATCAAAAAGAAATAAAAGGAGCATTTCAAACTTTTTTTTCAAATTTATATCATCTACAAGAAATTGAAACAGATAAAATTAAAGAATATTTAGACAAGCAAAAATTTCAGATTCCAACGCAAAGTCAGTTAGAGGAATTAAATAAACCAATCTCTAGATTGGAAATTAAAGAGGCAATTAGAGGACTGAAGGAAGGGAAAGCCCCGGGTCCTGATGACTTTACTTCTATATTTTATAAAACTTTTGAAGATGAATTAATTGCCCCATTGCAAAAAGTTATGAATTTAATTAGGGAAGAAGGCATACCACAAACATGGAGAGATGCAGAAATTGTTGTAATACCTAAAGAAGGAAAAGATAAAACTGAAATAAAAAACTATAGACCGATATCTCTCTTAAATATTGATTATAAAATTTTTAAAAATATATTGGCTAATAGATTGAAAAAGTACCTTACAAATTGGATAGATGAAGACCAAAGAGGATTTTTACCAAATAGACAAATGAGAGAAAATTTAAGAATAGTGATTGACACAATTGAGTACTATGAAAGACATAATGAGAAACAATTGGGAATGTTGTTTATAGATTTGGAAAAAGCTTTTGACACAGTTAATTGGAAGACATTGTTTGAAATTTTAAAAAGAATGCAATTAGGCCCCAAATTTACAAGATGGATAAGAGAAATATATAAAGATCAGAGAGCTCAGATTAATATTAATGGAGATAAAACTGAGTTAATAGAGATAAGGAGAGGGACAAGACAGGGTTGTCCCCTCTCACCACTCTTATTTCTTATCGTAATTGAAAGATTGATAAAAGAGATTAAGAATCAGGATCTAATACGGGGTTTGAAAATTAAGAATTATTGTTATAAAGTCAGGGCATTTGCAGATGATCTTGTTATATTTTTGGATAAGCCGAACAATTGTATAAATAATTTAATTAATACATTAGAAGAATTTGGGAATGTGTCAGGATGCAAACTTAATAAGGAAAAATCATCTATTCTCACAAAAGGATTATCTAAAGACGAGGAACAGCAATTAGCCAAAGAA